GTATGCAAAAAAATTATGTGTAGACCACACAAGCGCATATCAAATTTTCTTCCTGGGCCTCTGCTTCTAGAGTTAAACTAGTAAGTATTGGTACTCCCAGAACCAAGAATTGCATTTGCACCAGGTCTTTTAGGGTTTGTAGAACTTTGGAGAAACTCAGAGTAGAGATTTTTGGCAATATATATTTAGCTATAAAAGAACTTTTACAAAAAGCTAGAGAACTAGCAAGAAAATCAGTGTCACCCTTTTATAGGGCTAGATTAGATAGATATTTGAACCTTTACAAAGAATTTTGTAAAAAGTTTAAAATAGATAAAAAAAACACACTTGAAAATAGCATTTTGGTATTTATTATATGGTTAGATATAAGAGGTCTTGCATCCCAAACCTCACAGATTATGCAAGTGGTTAGTAGCTATCTAAATTTAAAAAAAAGAAAATCTTTAGTCACACTCTACTATACAAAAAGTTATTAAGTAAAGATAACTTCAAGATCTAGATAAAGTTGTAGAGGGGATTATTCTAAGTTAAATAGTAGTTAGATCATAAGATATCTTGGGTTAAAAGTGTGAATATTAGGATTGGCAAAGTTATTATTATGCAAAGTATTAATTTTTGTATAATAGTAAATTTGTTAATTTTTATATTTACATCTTTAATCCTGTATATCTCAAGAACTACTAGCCCAATTTTGATAATCTAACTATTATTTGACTTAGAATTATCTTCTCTACAACTTTACTTAGATCTTCAAGATATTTTTACTTAATAAATTCTTGCACAAACTTAAAAAACCTACTTTGGGTTCAAAGTAAATCCACTCTGGGTTCAAAGCAAACCCACTCCAGGTTTAAAGCAAAACCATTTCAGGTTCAAAGCAAACCCACTTTGGGTTCAAAGCAAACTCACTTCAGTTTTAAAGTGAACCCACTTTGGGTTCAAAGAGGACTCACTTCAGGTTCAAGGAGGACCACTTTGGGTTCAAAGAGAACCCACTTCAGATTCAAAAGGGACCCACTTTGGGTTCAAAGAGGACCCACTTCAAGTTCAAATGGGACCCACTTTGGGTCCAAACGAGACCCACTTCGGGTTCAAAGAAGACCAATTTCAGTTCAAAGGGGACCAATTTCGGTTCAAAGGGGACCAATTTTGGTTCAAAGAAGACCCACTTTGGGTTCAAAGAGGACCAATTTTGGTTCAAAAGGAACCAACTTCAGATTCAAAGGAAACCAACTTCAGGTTTAAAAAGAACCAACTTCAGGTTCAAAGGGGACCAATTTTGGGTTCAAAGTAAACCAACTTTGGACCAACCTCAGGTTCAAAGTAACTTAACTTTAGGTTTAAAATAACTAATTTTTAGATTTAAAATAAATTAAACTTAATACAACTACTTTTATGTCTTAAGTAAAAAATGATTCTAATCTTATTCTAAATTGATTTATGTAAAAAAATATCTTTTGAAAAAATAATCAATTTGGTTCCTTTTCTTAGCATCTAGCCTATATAATTATTTTAAATTTAAATTTTTCCCGTGCATTATTGCACGGGTTTACAACTAGTATAATTACATATCAAAATTTCAACATATCATATATGATATTTTCTAAAATAGGAAAAATAATTATCATACTACCTTCTAAATCAGAAATAATTATAAGTTATCGTTCGGCTGTTGTTACGACTGCCGCACCAAATTTTGATCATGTATATTTGTACGGTTGAGCTTTAAAATTCTTATTAGACAGAGAAGATTATTATCGGTTCTGTCTAATAAGAATTTTTAAAACTCAACCGTACAAATACGATCAAAATTTTGGTATGGCAGTAACAACATTGCCGTACGATAATATAGTATACCAAAAAGTTGAACGGTGCCATCCCATGTGATCGTACTGGTATACTATTAACAATCATTCTAACAACCATTCTTCCCTTCACAGACTAAAACAATGCCCTTATACATTTTTAATTTATATAGAGGTTTTAATCCCTCGCTTGGAGCTTCAATCTCTCAATTGCTCATTATTAGGATCCAACTGTGCTACAAACTCCAAAATAAGAATTCATAAAATATTGATGATAAAATAACAATACTGTACTATGAACACGAAATCCAAACTACCTACTGCGGCTCAGTATGACTCAAAGTTGCAAGTCAAGTAGTGATACAAATCGTCAAAAATTTTGAAATTGATTAGTTGTTAACTAAACGATTATTATTTTTGTTTGATTTTTATTCGATTTTAATATAAGTTGCCAAAATTTTTTAATCAATTAGCTGTCAACTAATCGATTTTTCGATTTTTGATATGTATCACTAGTATCATGGTCTCTCATGACATGCCATCCGGGCTTAGATAGATCATTTTTATCTTTATTTTTTTATTTTTTATTTGTTTGTTTATTTTCTTATTTTAGTATCATATGATAGACATCAGAAGATATGAATGTACGGTATAAGGAAATTAGTAATTATTAGTCATGGATTGTTGTGAAAACAAGTAATTGTTGGCTCCTCATGCCAAGAAATGTAATAACCAAGGCTTGTGGAAAATGTGTGGGTATCGAGAAGCTTTTCCCAAAGCATTACTGTTCGTGGTCTTCTGCACACAATGCTGCTTTGCAGCATTACGTGAACATAGAGTAGTGAAAGAGTTTAGTGCAGTAATTCAAAATGTATTTAAGGCCTAAGTTTTTGCATTAATAAAGTTTTCTCAGACTTCAATGTCTTTAATGAGTTAATAATCCTCAATGATTAAATACAATTTAGCAATGACATTATATTGAATTGTTGTTAATAAAACCCTATTGTTATTATCGTTATGTTCTCATTACCCTTACCCACTAACTATAAACTAATCAATTACCGTAATTGTTATTCTAAAAAACATCAACTCGCATTACAGTATAATTACCTGCCTTGTATACACTTAAAGTGTTTACATCAGTGTTTCGGGCGAAACCCGATTTTGCAGATCAAATTGGGCGAAACTAGATTCGGAGGGTTTTGGACTTATAGGGCAAAACTAAAATTCCTCTGGGCGAAACGTTTTGGACTTTGGGATGAGGTTTAGGCCAAAACACTGGTTTACATTGCGTATTGCATTCTTTAATTTAACCCTTAAAATCGATCGTATAACCCCTGACAGAATAATTACCCTGATCCCGATCTACATAATTCGTGACCTCATGCAACGTGCTTATACTAGAGCGAAAGATATTTATAACCTTTCACGCTTACTATTGGAGCTAGACCGAACCTATATTTCATTTGCTCTTCTAAACAGGGTTCATGTCATTTGCCCAACAACAATTTGCCCAACAACAATTTTCCCAATAAATATTTTCAAAAATATTGTTGGGAAATGGTTGTCGGGTAAATGACATGAACCCCCTCCCCTAAACAATAAGCACCCCCGGAAATAAACACCCTTGGCCCGCACTATGCCAAATTTGGGCTGCATTATAGTGATCTCGGCCAGCATTACAAGCAAAAAAGGGGTGCTTATTTCGTAACTATACGGTATATTATATCAATGTTACATAGATTCATTAACAGTTTGATAGCGTATGTTAAGTTGTAAAAAATGAAAAAAAATTTATTATTTTTTTGTACAGATCTAGAAAGAATTACATTGAGCAGTAAAGCGTTTGAATATAAAAATAATTCTATAGAGAAGATGATAAGGACTTTTTTGTCAGTAGTTGATTTTCTTTATTTTAATTAAACTAATGATGAATAAATCAGTTTTTGTTTGGTTGAACACAGTATTTAAAACACTTTTTAAATGACGATGATAATCATAAACAGAACAGTTTAATGTAGTATTTGAAAATTAAAGTTTTTTAGTCAAACGCAGTATTTAAATATTGCAAGATTATTATCGTACGCAATATTTAAAAAATTGCAAATTTTTAAATAATTATGGTTTAATTTTTTTTTTTTTTAGTCGTACGCAAGGTTTAAAAAATTTCATATTTTTTCTTGGCATGCGCAGTATTTAAAATTGCATATTTTTTTTATGATAAATTTTTTTTTTATACTCAGTTTACATCATTTAAATCGCATTAAATCGCATTTTCATTTTTTAATCATCAGTAAATCGAATGTTTTATATATATTGCACGCATAAATTTAAGAATTCTTATCGCATAAATTCCGTGTCCCTGACTAGGGTCAAGTGCAATTTACTGTATTGCATTTATTGCATTTATTGCATTTATTGCATTTATCGCATTTATCGCATTTATTGCATTTATCGCATTTATTGCATTGTCGCATTTATGCCATTTGTTAGATAAATTAACCATAGCATAAATAATATTTATGGCATTTATACCATTTATTGTAATACTGAATCTTTTATTATAAATAAAGGCCGTGAAGGCCATTTTACCCAAGTTTCGTGGTGCTTACAATTATCGTTCCATAAACAAAGTACACAATTGACCTATAAAACCTTAGATCCTTGCTCTAATAAAAATATTTCAATCCCAGATCTATTACTTAGCAGCATAGTGAAAGGTCTTCGCTCGTATAATTGTCTTGCTCACGTGACTTCGTAGAAGATTGCTGTCCGGTTGATTCTGAGACTTGCCATGGTTTTCCAACTCTCCCAACGTACCGTGGATTGTTGTGATTATTTTTTGTTCCGGTTTGAAGTCCAAGAGGAAGGATCAAGCCGTGGTTTACTGATTTGATAGTAGATAAAAAGAAGAACCATTATTGTGTAATATTTGGGTTCCTGTTATAAGTAAAAGAAGCTATACCTACGACCACAAACTCCCACTCGCCAAATATAACCGCCTCTTTCGATTAAGCCCCTTTCGCGACGTCCCAGATTGTGGAGCGATTACTCGCCGTTTTAAGGTGTCAATACTAAAAAATTGAGCATGACACCGGCCTATGATTCGTTCATCGACCCGTATTACGAGTTATGAATCAATCCGACAATAACTGACCGATGACTGACCATAACTTACTGAACCCATCCCTACTTATGCGATACGATATGAGTGATGCACAGAGAAACCTGTAAGTAAAAAATCAATTAATTTTTACTTACGTACGTACGTACATACAGGTTTCCCTGTGCATCACTCATATGAAATCTGGCAACATTTGACAGGTATAGTCATGCTGTTTGCAAATTGATGGAACTTTGAAGAAATTTGTAGTGCCCGATTGTCCGATTGCAATCGATTGTATGTAATTGTACGTACGTGATTTTATGCGATTTCTCAGCAACCATCTAATCAAATTTGAAGAAAATTTTTTATTTAAATTTTATGAACCTATAGAATTTAAATAAAAAAAAATTTATCGAATTTGATCAGATGGTTGTTGAGATATCATCGCTCAAAGTTTTTTTTTAAAAAAAATGTCAAAATGTTTATCAAAAATAGAAGCTGCACCAAATTTTTTCAATTTGAGCGAAGATATCTCAGCAACCATCAAACCAAATTCGATGAAAGTTTTTTAATTTGAATTTTATGAATCTTTAGAATTCAAATAAAAAAAATCTTCGAATTTTGATCAGGTGGTTGCTGAGATATTAAAAAAAAAACAAATTCGCCTATAATTCAAGAGTGAAAAAATGTAGCAACTCCATGAATTCTCGTTTATTTGAGCCAAAATTTTATAAGACGAATTTAAATATATTCTCTAAAAGTCTTGATATTGCGCAGTAATCACTTCAGACCGAACGTTTCAAAATCAAGTTGGGTACCATGTATTTTCATCATAATATCAAAATAGAAGCTGCGCCAAAATTTTCCTAAAACTTTAAACGAAGATACTTCAGTAACTATCTGATCAAATTCAATGAAATTTTTTTTATTTGAATTCTATAAATCCATAGCATTCAAATAAAAAATTTCATCAAATTTGATTAGGTGGTTGCTTTGCTCGAAATTTTTTTAATAGTTAAATGTTTATTTTGATATTAGGCTGAACCAATTTAATTCGGTGGTTTACATTACCCCTTTGACTTCCCCCTCTCTCTCTTAGTAAAAAAGTTTTGGGATATATATATGATTTTGATCAGAGAGCATAATACCAGGTGGAATTAAGATTAGGATCTGAAAAATTCCGAAAAGAAAATGAACGAGCATGATTAAAAAAAAAATTTATTAAAATTTATTACTACGTCGTTCCATTTTTCATCCTCCCCCCCGGAGAAAGGAATGTAATTAAACTAAACCACCGAATTAAATTGGTCCGGCCATATGATGAAAATTCATGGTACCCACCCTGATTTCGAAAAGTTCGGTCTAAAGAATTACTGCGCAATAACAAGACTTTTAAAAAATATATTAAAGGTTTGATTTGTAAAATTTACGAGAACCCATGGAGTTGCTACATTTTTTCATTCTTGTATTATAACCAATTTTTTTTTAGTTTTTTTTTTTAAAAAAAAAAAAACTTCGAGCAAAGATATTTCAGCAACCACCTGATCAAATTAGATGAAATTTTTTTATTTGGGTTCTATTGGTCAATGAATACAAAAAAAAACATCAAATTTGATCTGATTATTGCTGATATATCTTCGCTCAAAGTTTTAGGAAAGCTTCTATTTTTGATGGGTTAATTGTTTCAAAAAACTTTGAGCGAAGATATCTCAGTAACTACCTGATCAAATTCGATGAAAATTTTTTTATTTAATTCTATGGATCTATAAAAAAAAAAATTCGTCGAATTTTTCAGGTGATTGTTGAAATATCTTTGCTCATTTTAGGAAAAATTTGACGCAGCTTCCATTTATGATAAACATTTTTTTTAAAAAAAACTTTGAGCGATGATATCTCAGCAGCCACCTGATCAATTTCGATGAATTTTTTTTTTTTTTTTTTTTTGAATTCTATAAATCCATAAAATTCAAATAAAAAAAAAAAGTTGCTGAGAAATCGCATAAAGTCACGTACAATCACGTACAATCGATCGGAATCGGGATCTACAAATTCTATCAAAAGTCACATCAATTTGCAAACAGCTATAGTCGAATTTAAATTATAAAGGAAGCACTTTAAGGTGGAAACGACATTCGACTGGCATCAGACCTAATGTTGGCATTGATCACAAACTGTTATTATTGGTTACTAATCAATGGGAGAGTGCCAGAAACGGATACCGAAGAAAGAAGTGTCGTATGTTGGTGAAATCTTATACTCAGGAGACAAATTGAAAGTTTAAAATTTATGTCCGGATACTATACATATTTAAGGTTTCTTATTAAATTTAATGATTTTTTTTTTTTTTTATCGGGACACTTCACATCACGTGAAATCATGCAATTACGCCATTTGCTTACTAGCACTAACAAAATCGGCCTAAACTAACTATCACCTAACCCTAGCATTAACAATAACACTAACCCTAACTTAGGCCGAAAGATTTAACATGATCACTGTTCTTGAAGCTACCCTTTTTTATTTTAATATTATAACATTGTAGAGTTGGAAAAAAAAAATTGACAAATTCTATTTGGTAGTTATCGAGAAATATTCGTCTAAAGTTTTAAATACGTAAGTTAGAATATTGAAAAATTTCGGGTAGATTTTTTTTTTCTTTGAACTTTACATGAAGATTTCTCGACTACTACCTAATCAAATTTGATGAAATTTTTTTTATTATAATTCTACGAATTTGTAGAATTAAAATAAAAAAAATTGATCTAATTTGACTAGGAAATCGTCAAGGAATTTTCGCTTAAAGATAAACAAAAAATTTAGCTAAGTTTTTAATGAATATTTCTCCGCAACTAACTTTTAATTTGATGAAAATTTTTTTATTTTAATTATATAATTTGTAGAAGCAAAATAAAAATATTTCATCGAATTTTGATAGTTATTTGTCGAGAAATATTTATACAAAGTCAAACGTTTATAAAAAAAAAAGCTGCATCCAAATTTTTTGATTAGATTTAAATAAAGATTTATTAATAACCACCTATTCAAATTCGATGAAAAATTTTTTTTTATTTAAATTATACAAGCCAGCAGAATTGAATGAAAAAAATTCATCGAATTTGGGTAGGTGTTGAGAAATCATTATTTAAAAGGTAGAATATTTTTTTAAAAAAATTAGATAAGTTTCTTAAAAGATTTTAAATAAAGATTTCTCGACACTTACCTATCCAAATTCGATGAATTGTTTTTTTTTATTTCAATTCTACTGGCTTGTAAAGTTGAAAAAAAATTTTATCAAATTTAGATAGGTAGTTATTAATAAATCTTCATTTAAATCTAATTAAAAAATTTGGCCGCAGCTTTTTTTTTTATAAACGTTTAACTTTAAATAAATATTTCTCGACAAATAACTAATAAAATTTGATGAAAATTTTTTTATTTTGCTTCTACAAATTTATACAATTAAAATTTCATCAAATTTGAATAGTTAGTCGCGAAAAAAATATTCATTCAAAACTTAGCATCTATAAAAAAAAAAGCTGCGGCTAAATTTTTTGTTTATATTTAAGTGAAAATTTCTTGACGATTACCTAGTCAAATTGGATCAATTTTTTTTATTTTAATTCTACAAATTTGTAGAATTAAAATAAAATAAATTTCATTAAATTTGATTAGATAGTTGTTGAGAAATCTTAGGTAAAGTTCAAAGAAAGAAAATTTACCCGATTTTTAACTTTTTTTTAAAATTTTAAGCGAATATTTTTCAATAACTACCAAATAGGACTTGTCAAAATTTTTTTCAATTCTGCAAATTTATAGTATTAAAATAAAAAAAAAATTCATTGAGGTTATCGAAGAACCTTCGCTAGAAGTTAAAAAATTTTCAAAATTTTAAAAGGGATCTTTGATTTTTGCCAATAAAATTTAGCGAAGATTATCACGTGTCCGCGAAGATTTACTATTGAATAAAACGTGCCCCAACAAATAGAAAATCAACCGCCAAGGGAAAACATGTCATCGGACTTTCAATTATATTTTGTGTACAGTTAGTTGTCTATGGAAAATTTATCATTATTGTAGATTTTCCATAGACGGCTAACTGTACACAATATAATTGAGAGTTCGATGACAGGTTTTTCCTTGGCGGCACTCATGTGATTAAAAAGCCAGGTTTCATAACGTTGAGATGAAATGACGAAATGGAGGGTTGTGTTTGGAGGAGTTATAGAAAAGGGAATCCGTATTAATAAGGCGATAGAGTCTAAAAATGGAATATTAATAAGGCGATAGAGTCTAAAAATGGATAAATAAAAAGCGAAACTCACTTATATAGAACGTTTGATAATAGGGAAGTGGTGGTGAAAAAAACTGGTAGAAGTCTTAAAATAGCATAATTAGATTGTAATTTGAAAAAATGTATAAAACCAACAACATAATAATAATAATATACTTATCGTTCTTGTGCCTCTAAAAGAAACATATATCGTCTCCGTGTCTCCTTATTGTTGTGATGGTGTAGTTGTTGACCTGTTTTAATAAAAATATTTACGTTTGCTTGGCGCAAATCAGTAAGTTAAATGGAAAATGTATATACATTGGGTAAATCTCAAACCTTTGAAAATACCGAACAATCAGTTAACGTTTTATGGTTAAAAACTTAATAAGCGAAAAACTAGAAATGGTACGTAGGCCAAAAACATTAAATAATAAACAAACAAGTACTGCACGATATAAAAATATTAAGATAAACAATTTCCTTTATCGTATAAAATTTACAAATTAGCTGCATGAATGCACAGCTCAAATTATTACTTAGAAATATCTTATTGGTGTTAACCAAAAAAAAAAGGGTATTCTTTTTATACGTAATAGTAAAAAAACTAATGCATTCAGGGTTGCATTTATATAACAAACTACTGGATTTGGCTGTTAGGGATTACATTTAGGCATCTGAGATTAGGGAGTTTATAAAATATCATATATAACGGTTCACTAATGATTTAAATTGATTTTATTGTTAAATAATTTGGATACCTTTTTTGTAATAAATATTATGTTTATCTTCCGACAAATATCCTTAAAAAGCAAAAAAACATCGATTAATAAAATGAGTAAAATTGTTAGTGCGAATTAAATGCATTAAATGGGTAATTTTATTTGTTTTTTTAGGGGAAAGTTATGATTATGATAAATATCCAATGAATAGTATATTTAAAATGCATCGATTAAACAAATGATATATGCTGTAAATAATCAATGAATAATATATTACGTACGTACGTATGCACACACGCACGTGACTAGTAAATTTTCATGGATAAATCTAGTATATGTTCACGCCTAAGGTCAAATGAGAGGTATTAAGTACAATTAGATGCATAACTAAGATTCATTTTTATGCACACTTAATTATACTGTAATACAAATATCACAAATAACAGAATTAACTATCTACGGATTAAATCAATTTTAATAATTTTATGCTCATCCGCTGAATTCCGTAAACGCCAATATTGACGTATCAAAATAAGAGACATTATAAAATATGTATTGTACGAATAATATATCTAAAATAAATCCATTAAAAAAATTGTTCTTTATTCTCACATGCTAAATCAGCGTAAATCGAGCGAATTGAAAAGGTAGTACATTGGACAAAGAAATTTGATATGAGTATTAGTAATTGGGCAGCTGCATTTTGTAGTGAGGTGTACATTTCTAGGTATGCTTTTTTTGGAATAATAACTATATATTAGAATTTTATTTGTTTTTTTGACATGCAAAAAGTTAAAGAATAAATAACTTTACGAAATGCTTCGTTAGTATGCATATAATATTGTTGCATAACTGTGCTACAGTGACTCCTATATGTTAATTTATACAGAATGCCCACGCTTAGCATATTTTTTTGATCGGTATATTTTATCTCTATTAAATCACACACTCTATTGCTAAAACGTTTTTTTTTTATTACTAACGAACCTTGACAATTTCCTAAAAATCTTTGTCTTTAAATATTAATCACATAGTTATCGATCGTATATATTATTAGTGCAATTCAGAATTTAATAAAATTACACATTATGCAAAACCACGCATTTAATTACATTTTTATTGATTAATTATTACTATATATAAGGATCAATACGCATTATGCATATGCAAAAATCACACATCACTTATGCAACGCCATGTTACACTAATAGAATCTCACGAATCTCCGACTAAATGATTTATTATATATAGATAGATATAGCAACTGGAATTTATCAACATTTATTTTCAAAAAAAAAAAAATTCATATTTGCATCAAATAAATGTCGTATCTATCTACAAATTGTTAAATATACAATAGACTTTTAACACACTTAACATTAATTCTAATTTATTGCCCAATATTCTTATATTATTCCTTTTAAGATTTTTTTTTTTTGCATCTTTCATAATAAAATTATAAATATGGCTTACTCTGTACAATATCGAAAACGAGACTATTTAATTTGGACATATCAAAGAATAGTCAGAAGTAAATTTATCGCAGAATGTTTATTGTTAACATTATTTATATCGATAATATTTCTTCATTTAAATAGTTTTTTTATCAAATCAGCTTCCTCTCAAATTGCAGAAATCAATAGTAATAATAATAACATTATATTTGTCGTTGATGATGTTCAACATGCAAAAGGTTTACAACCTCTTTATTGTAATCTGCATAGAAAGGGAAAAGTAGAAAATGTATATACTCACGTAATAGTTACTGGTCGTGGAATAAATGGCAGGGAATTGATAAAGTCCAATTCATTATTGCCAGATTGTGATGTACCTGTATATGATTTAGAGCTTCAAAAAGCCAATGAAAATACCTTCATATCAGTTGCTAAAGATATAAGTAATGCGTTATATCAAATTCAGCCGGATGTCTTGATTTATATAAATGATCCTAAAAATGAAGCAATACGCGGTGTTGATACTGCATTAGTTGCTGCTTCTCAAAATAATCAACCTATTGCAAAAATCGCATTACCTATAGAAGACGCGAAACATATGATGTGGTTAACTGAACTAAATATTGAGGCTCTTAAAAGTGCGTATTAAATTTTTTTAATTTTTTTTTTGTTCGGTTTTTCTATCCTTTATATATTACATTCATATCTAACCTATTATATTTTATTATATCTATTATATCATAGATTGGAACACTCCAAACATTCAAGTACAAGTCATTACTCAAGATCGTCCTCTATCTCTAACACGCCTTATGCGATCTCTCAATTCTTCTATTTATTTCGGTGACAATGTACAACTTACTGTAAATATGGATCGAAGTGCAGATCCTGTTACTATAAAATACTGTCAAAATTTTAAATGGTCATTTGGTAAAATGGGCATTAGATTCCGTGTAAAGCAAGGAGGTTTGATTACTGCCGTCGTAGAATCTTATTATCCTACTACCAATGATGATTACGCTGTAATTTTAGAAGATGATATAGAAGTTTCTCCATACTACTATATATGGTTAAAATATACAATCTTAAAATATAGATATGGAACTGATCGAAGTTTAGTCAGTAGATTACTTGGAATCAGTCTTTACGGTTCAAAACTCAATGAAATAAATAGTACTACTGGTCGTAGACCTTATGAACCTGCTGAAGTTTTAGAAAATACTAAATTTCCTAATCAATCTCCATATCTTAGTCAAATACCTTGTAGTTGGGGTGCTTTGTTTTTCCCCGAAATATGGCGTGAATTTCATATTTATTTGAATGCTAGATTAACTGACCTTGAAGGTCCTAAATTACAGACAGTAATAGTTCCAGAAAGTAGATCAAATATGTGGTCAAGATCTTGGAAACGTTTCTTTATAGAGCTTGCATACCTTCGTGGTTATGTGATGCTTTATCCTAATTATAATAATTCTATTAGTTTTACAACTAATTATGCTGAATTCGGTGTTCACTTTCGTATCAAAGGAAAACAAAAAGATTTATGGCTCCTTCCATTAATGGAAGAAGATATTGTATTGGAAGGACTACCTGACGGTCATTTACCAAACTATGAAGATTTACCAAGTATAGACCTTTGGGGAAATCTTATGACTCCACAAGAATTAATTCGAATTGGACGTTCATTTCACTCGGAAATTTCAGCTTGTCCTCCCAACGATTCTGATGAACTCACTTATGACCCCCAAGACTTATTATGTGTGAAACCTGAGGAACCTGAGGAATCTGTGGAATTTGTGGAATCTGTGGAATTTGAGGAATCTCCTATTGATAAATAAGAAAAAATTGTTTTATAAAAAATATATATATATATAATAATATTTTTTTTTTTTTTTTGAGAAATGGAAAAATAATTTTTTAACCAGATATTAAATAAAAATTAAATACATACATTTCAAAAATAAATGATAGAAACTTTTATACTATTCAGGAGTAGGAATGTTATCCTACTTGCCTGATTTTTGAATTTTTGATCACTATATATGTAGATCGAATGATTTTGATAATTATGGTTAAGTTTCATTACTCATTACACAAGCCAAAATGATTGTAAAAATTGTTCAATATAGCACTGAACGTTATGAGCAGGCGCTATTAGATTAACGAGATGCGCTGCTCTTCTAGATAGAAAATTCTGACTTTTAACTTTGTTTATGTATATTCAAGAATTTATCTACACGAAAACCCGCAGTAAACACATTTGCATATCACGCACACATCTATACAAAAAAAAAATCTTAGTCCTCATGATTATCTACGACAAATATTTTTAAAGACAAAATTATAATGTAATAATAATAATAATGATTGTTAATCTTTCTCATAATTATTATTTAATCATAGTTCGAAATATTAATCGATCTATAAAATAATAAATGTTATTGATTAGTGATTATTTATTTTCAAATAAATAATATTAAAATCTGATGTAGTTCCTTTTTTAAAAAAAAAATGCTTCAAAATTCTTATTACTACTGATCTCAGTTTCGTAGAATTCAGATAAAAAAGCTCATAGAATTTGTTCTGCAAGTGACGGGCATAGTGCAATAAAAACATAGTGCCCCGGCTACACAGGTATTAGGTTTTAACGACACCATGCTTGGCCTTAATTATCGAGATATTTTCACTCAAAGTTGAGAAAATTTTGGTGTAACTCTTATTTTGATAGACAGTTTTATTTTTTAAAACTTCGGACAATAATATCTCGATAACCATCGAGTTAAATTTAATAAGCTTTTCTTTTATATATTTATTTGAATTCTACAGATTCATAGAATTCAAAAAAGGTCATCGAATTGACATAGTTGATGTCGTGATATCTTCGTGCAAATTTTTTTAAAGATTTCCGAAAAGCGTCCCAAAAAGGTGAAAGCTACGGGCACAACATTCACGTGCTTATGTGCACAGCAATGACCAGCACTACTATAATACACTTACCCTAACGCTAACTCTAACCCTAACCCTAGCCAATGCTGTGCACATAAGTCACGTGAATGTTGTGCCCGTAGCTTTTCCTTCCCAAAAATCTGTGTTCGGTTTTAATCACGTGATAAAGATCGTAATTTTTAAAAATAAAAAATTTTTTAACTTCAGATCAAGATATCTCAATAACCACCTGAACAAATTTGACAAAACTTTCTTATTTGAATCCTAAGGATAAATACGATCTGGAAAAAAGTTTCATTGAATTTGGTCTGGTGGTTGTCAGATATCTTCACTTAAATTTTGAAAAAAAATTGGCGTAGTTTCTATTTTGATGAGCATTTTCTTTAGCTTTGAGCAAAGGTATCTCTGCACTCACTTGTTCAAATTCGATGAAAAAAGTTTTATTTGAATTTTACAGATGCATAAATCCAAAAAAAAATTATCGAATTTTAACAAGTAAATGTAGAAATATCTTTGCTCTAAGTTTAAGAAAATCAAAAATGCCCATCAAAATAGAAGCTACGCAAAATTTTTTAAAATTTAAGTGAAGACATCTCAACAACCGCTTGATCAATTTTGATGAAAATTTTTTTGTTTGAATTCTACAAATTTTTAAAATTCAAAAAAAGAAAGTTTAATTAAATTTATTAGGTTAGTTGTCAAGATATCTTCATTCAAAGTTTTAAAAAAAATCAAACCGTCTATCAAAATAAGAACTGTTGAATTTTTCTAAACTTTGAGTGAAAATATCTTCATAAGCTCCTAACCCAAATTCGAAGAAAATTTCTTATTTAAATTCTATGGACTTATAGAATTCAAATAAAAATTTTCAACGAATTTATCAGCTGGTTGTCGAGATATCTTTGCTCAAGTTTTTAAAAAAATCAAAAATTTTAAGTTGCGCCAAATTTTCTTAAACTTTGAGTGAAGATATCTCGACAACCACCCAACCAAATTCAGTGAAACTTTTTTTTTTTCTGAATCTTACCAATCCTTAGAATTCAAATAAGAAAGTTTTGTCAAATTTGTTCGTGTGGGTATTGGGATATCATGATTTGAAATTTTTTAAAAAAAATATTTTTAGTGAAATTATGATCTTCATCACGTGACTAAAAACGAGCACGGATTTTTTTTATGACACAGTGATTATCGCCTAAACTATACTATATATATCATACAATTCGTTGAATAGATACCTTTCAATAGTCATTGACTTTTACATTAACTCTCAAATAGTTAGTGACCAATCCAATACAAAATTATTGATTTTTCCTATTGGCTCTTTAATAAATTCAATAATTTCTCCTAACATTGGTTAGTAAACCAATTAAAATAGTTTGTGACCAAACGATCGGCATTAGGGAGACCCACCTATGATTTTCGGATAAACAACATCCTTTTAGATAAGAACGGCAAATTAGCTGCAAAAAGGCACAGCCCAAATTATTACTTCTGCAATGTTTTATTAATGTTAACCAAAAAAGGTCAAAAAAAGGAATTTCTTATAATACGTAAAAGCAAAAATTATACGCATAATAATAGCGGTTCGCTAATGATTTAAATTATAAATTAAAATTTTATTAGCAAAATAATTTAGATATCTTTTGATCAATAATAAGTATCATGTTCATAGTATCATGTTCATCCTCCAAAAAAGCATCGATTGATAAATGACTAACATTGCTATTACGAATTAAATGCACCTAAATATAAGGATGCATCGGTCCGGTCTGGTCCTATTTTACAATCACAGTTCGGCCCGCCCTCGGTCCTTCAATGATTATGTCATATTGGTTTGTTTACAAGAATTGATCCAGGACCGGTCTTTTTCAGAGCCTATGCATATATGAATAATTTTTTTTAAAAAAAAATATTCTCTAGAGGAATGCTGACAAATATGAATAGTATATTTTAAATGCATCGATTAAACAAATACGCATGTGGCTAGTAAATTATTCATGCCTAATTCACATCTAAGATCGAATGAGAGATATTATGTACAGTTAGATACATATCTAAGATACATTTTTTGAATAAATTTTATAAGTGATATTAAATATGTCTTTATCAAATCAACCTCCTTCAAAAAAATCAACTGTAATAATAACAATATTATATTTGTGATCGATAACCAACATGGGGTTACAACTCCCAAAAAAGAAACAGCCAATAAACAAATTGACTATTACTAAATTCGAAGTTATTTAAAACTTTGATTTTCTATAGTTTTGTATTAAAAAAAGTTAATTGAATTTGGTTTAATAAGTGTTGAGAAATCATCGTTAAAAGTTTTTAAAAAAACTTAATTCGAAAAAAAACTATTCGACAATCCAACTATGTGAATTTGATAAAACTTTTTTTTTTATTTACCTGATAAATGGCTGGTTGCCGAGAAATATTCATTAAAAGCTAAAAAATTGGTCGCAGCTTCTTTTTTAAAGACATTTAACCTTTGAATGAAGATTAATCGACAATTACCTGGTCAAATTCGATCAAACTTTTTTATTTTAATTCTATGAGCATATAGAATTAAAATAAAAAAAATATTGGTCAAATTTGACCAGGTAAGTGCTGTGTAATCTTCGTTCAAAGCTATAAAAAGCTGTGGCTAAATTCTTTTTTAACTTTTACAGTAATGAATGTCTATTTTGAAAATCAGCTATCCAAATTTGATCAACTTTAAAATTAAATTAATAATGATCTGATTTTTCCGATATTTTAAGTTTTTTTTTATTTTTAGCGATGAATCTCGACACCTACTAAACCGAATTCAATTATTGCGCTTTGCAAAAAGATGAGATCTCTGCAGATCTTAATGTCGGGTGAAAATCAGAGATTCTGTAGATTTTAAGAATCTTACCAAATTCAAATAAATATAAACATAACTGACGAAGATATGAATTAATAGACAATTTAGAATCTTAGAAATTTTCCTCGTTCATCATCACAAATATCATGGGGTTACATATTTTTGCAAAGCGCTATAATTTCTTTTTTTTTATTTTAGTTCTACAAAACTCTAGAATTAAAATAAAAAAAAAGGCTGCCGAATTTAATCAAGTACATCAGCAAAGTTATTTTTATAAAATCTATATAGCTGTATCAAGTTATATAAATGTTATATAAAATTTTTATTTAGATTTTATTTATATAAATATAAAAACTATATATTGTCATGGGTAGAATAAATCGTGACCACCAAAAACGTGACCTAAACGTCGATCGGGACCTGGATCGATGCATGATC